GAGTATATCCGTTCCAGTAGTAAGTGGGGCTGTGGGAGTGAGCCGATTGGATCGTGGTATAAAAATTAAGATTCTTTGAGATATTCTGTATGGAATACACAAAAATTCAATAGAAACAAATTAAAAGAGTAGAACTACCCCCAAAAACTCCTATCAAAGATCTGCAAACCGCCGCACTGTGCCTAGACCTAGGGATGTGCACAGCACAATGCTGCAGGCTTCCAATTTGGCTGTCAAGGGGAGCAGGGCTGTGCTCCTCCTCCTTCTCTCTGCCTCCCATCTGCCTGCACGTCCTGTAAGTACCACCCCAACGCTTTTAGACTCCCCAGCAGCAGCTGAGCTCTGCCTCACCCCAAAAACTCCTATCAAAGATCTGCAAACCGCCGCACTGTGCCTAGACCTAGGGATGTGCACAGCACAATGCTGCAGGCTTCCAATTTGGCTGTCAAGGGGAGCAGGGCTGTGCTCCTCCTCCTTCTCTCTGCCTCCCATCTGCCTGCACGTCCTGTAAGTACCACCCCAACGCTTTTAGACTCCCCAGCAGCAGCTGAGCTCTGCCTGTGGTTTTCTCACCATTCAAGGAACCTGCTTGCCTAGGCTCAATCCTCTGTACCAGAGGTGGGGAGCTGGAGGAATTGGGGGTGAGGTTATGTCTGGTGAATAATGAAGACAGAGGGAGTTGATCTTCAGAAATAGTTCTACAAAGTAAAATAATATACATTACCTAAGTAAAAGATTTCACTTCTGACAAATTAGAATCAACTGTGTACACTCACAGTATCCACACTTCTACACAGCACTGGAAGCATACAAAGGCCTTTTGTGAACTATGAGGCAGTACACTAACTCAACTTTACTGTTGACCCATATGCACATTAATGGTATACTGGTTTGGATTAAATAGTACTATGGGTGACAGAAAACCTAAAATAGCACTGTGCTTTTATTTCTCCCTCATCTAATCCACCACAGCGAATACTGCAGTTTTATAAGCAGTTCATATCCAGCCTCTCTTGTTGGCCTGCTGGACTTCCTCAAGGTCTGAAATGGTGTTCAAGTTCCAGCTACCTCATATATATTCCAGCCAGCATGGAAGGAACTGCTCTTTCTTATTAAGGATACTCAGAAGTTAAACCCATCATTTGTAATTGTATTCTATTGTCGAGAATTAATCACAAAGTCAAAGCAAATGACAAAGGAGGCTGAGAGTTGTCTTTATTCTGGGCAGGCATGTCTTGTAATCTACATGAGTGAAGAACAGGTCCATGATGAGCATTCGGTCTGTTCAGCACAACTATCTTGGTCTCCTTGCACAGCTCCTCCTGATACTACCCTTAGGTTATTTTTGTCTATAATTTAACAATAGGCTTAATGAAAGTTAATTCATGCTCGACATAATTTGTTTAAAATGTATTATTCAATAGTTTTCTTATATTCAGAGTCATATAACCATTACCACAACCAATTTAGGGATGTTTTAATTTTCTCACTACTAAAATAAGTCCTGTACCCATTAGCACTTTTCTCTTCTAGCCCTAGGCAATTACTTTTTGTCTTTAAGCATTTAGTCTGTATTTTTCATATAAATGGGAAGCATCTAGTATTTGGTCTTTTGTGACAGACTTTTAAATTTTAGTATGATGTTTCCGGGGTTGCAGTATGTATTAGTATTTTATTTTCATTTTATGGACAAATAGGCCACTCTGTAGATATACCACAGCTTATGTTAAATCAGTTTTCAATCTTATAACATGAACTTTAGAGACAAATATAAGGAAATGAAAAAAAAATGGCTGTGCATTTAGAGTCAAAGATCCACTACTTGGAGCCAATCAGTCTCTCCAGACCTCAGGTTCCACATCATGTGAAGGTCTAGCTATGGGGCTGTCTGACACCTGGTTTGTAAAAATCTTAAATTAGGATAAAAGACAGACTTTTAGGCCGTGTGGTGGTGCAAGCCTTTAATCCCAGCACTAGGGAGGTAGAAGCATGCGTATCACAGAGATCAAGACTAGCCTGATATATACAAGGGAGTTCCAGGCCAGTGGGCTACAGCTAGACCCTACCTCAAAAGAGAAAAAAAAAGTACCTGTTAGCTGTTAGCCAGGGGTGCACTCCAGCCTCCAGCACTTGGGAGGCAAGGAGTGAGTTCTAGACCAGTCAGGGTTACACAGTGATTCCTTAATGGCATTTTGAAGGAAATCTGTCCAGGAAAGGTATATCATATTAAGGAAAAGAGCTGCAAACCAAAAGGTCTGGTTCATCTAAGAGTAAGCAAAAAACTGTCAGGATGAATACCTACCACCAAATTATGCATTTTGTGTGTATTTAACACTAGCCTTTCATATTTCACAAAACAGATTATGTTCAAAATGCTTGAAAAAATAATGAGTCGAGCAAAGTTGTTAATGACTTCCCATATTATTTATTCAAAGACCCATTTGCTTCTTCTTTAGTTTAATATCACTGCAATCCTATTTTCTGCTTTCCCAGTCTTCCTTGTATGCTGGGGAAAAAATCTCACGGTTCCTTCCATTGAGCAGCAAGTTTAGCTCGCCTAAACCTTTCCTACCTGGCTTCTGCAGTGCTTTTTACCTACCATACTGACTCATAATAGTCGCCTCTTCCGTTCCAACCTTACAGAATCAACGAGTCTCCCTTTTCTGTGTCCCCTGTGCCTAGCAGCATCAGCTGAGGTTAACCCAAATGGCTCTCACATCACTGAAAACAGGCAGCAGCTGCTCCCATCTCTCTTTTTTACAGGGGCTCTTTTCTTCCCCCGTACTTCAAAAACCGCCAACATAACAAGCCCCTAAAGGCAGGGCTGTGCAAGACCTGCTCTAGCATTCAGAGAACTAATGACATTGGAAGACATTAATTCTCTCAACCATCAGGTCATGGAGGTCCAGGACTCACGGAACCTCTTCGAACGAGGTCCCAAAGTCCACAGCTCCGCTGGCATCTTCATCCCACGCTGCGGACATATCAAGTTCAGGGGGCTCGAACCTGAAGGCCGGACGGGAAGGTGGAGGCTTCGCCACAGGGTCGTTTCCTGCGCGTGCCGGGCCTCCGGAAGTGTCCGAATCTCGGGAACCGGCGGCCCAGAACCACGTGACCACGTAAGCCCCTCTCGTTTCCCAAAGGCACTCCGGAATCAAGGCACCTAAGTCCCGTCACTGTCAGCTCCAGCCGCAGGCTCCAGGTTCCTACTGCCCGCCCTCCGGAAGTGACGGAGGGAAGTCCCTCCTCCCGCAGAGGACGGGCAAGAAAGATGGCGGCGCCCAGGAGCCGGTGAGGGTTGAGGGTACGGGGATCCCGGGGCCGTCGAGCTGGAGCGTTATGGCCGCGTCCCCGCACACTCTTTCTTCGCGCCTCCTCACAGGTACTGTATCCGCCTCATGCAGGGCCGTGGAGCTCTGTTTTTCTTGCCCTGTGCGAGGCCGTGGTTCCGGCAGGCTGCAACCTTGTGAGCCCTTGACTTGTCACCTGGGAAGGTAGTGACCTTTGGGGTAGGTTGGAGAAAAGAGGCCACAGAGCCGTGGACCAGTTTTGCCCTGTGGCCCAGGCACTGTTCACAGCGTTTGGTGTCTCGTGCTTCTTTGGGGTTTCCCATAGTGGAAACGAGATGAGGGCAGGGTAGAACCTTAGGGCTCTACAAGCCTCGGGCGTATTCTCATCCTAGCCACTGCCTTGGAATGATGAGAAACGCAGCTTCGGAAGCTGCCTTCCAACTTAAAGGGTCATGGTCATAATCATGATTGACTGATGATGACTGCAGACTTAGTCTGCCTTTCATTCGGATTCTGTCTTGCAAATTAGTCATACTGCTAACCACGATACTAATGATAACTGCAAATCCAGTTCCTTTTCATCAGCATGACCCCTTCCGTTTGAAGGACTTTTGACCGATGTGTTTGTCACAGATTCCTGGCAAGGTCTCATCAAGTGAGGCCTTTTCAGAGAGGCCAAACTGAGCAACCTATCTAAAACAGGACCTCCTGCTCTTTTTTCATATCAAGTTATTTCATCATTGTTAGTACATACTGTAATGTTACATACACATACACAACAATTTATGATCTGATTCTCCCAACTAGAATATACACTTTGCCAAGGTAGAGACTGTCTCTCTGGCTTACCACTGCATCCCTGGTGCCCAGAACAGTACATTGTTGGTGCTCACTAGTGTTTATGAATGAGTGAGATTGTCCTGATAGAAATATTAGAGATGAGGTTGGGAATTGTTTTGCCTCTGGTATTTTTGGATCATAGTTAATGCCTAGGTGGGGGATGTGTTACTGGTAGTTTGTATTAGAGACAAGATAATGGAAGTCAAGGACTTCTTTTGGTCAAAGAATCATTTTCTAGGCCTCATCTGTCCCATACAGGCTCCCCACAGTGTCTGGAGCTGGCAGTGTTGATCACTGTGACTCCATGAAGTTCCTTTCTTCCTTTTTCTCTGTAATGCAGTTTTATGGGTCTGTTTAAGGCAGATCATTTGACTTTTCTGTAATGGAGTTTACTTGTGGTAACACATGAGGTAATTGAACTAGATGATCTCAAAGGTCCCTTCTGGCTCATAAATTAGAGCAGTGGGTGAAAGAGAGTATAGAAAAAACATGACGGGGAAGTATTTGGTAATTGTTGAAACTGTAAGTAATGGGGACTTGTTGGACAGTTCTGTTTTAACTTATGACTGTCATTTACCATAATGGAAAGTTGTGGTTTTTCCTAAGGATTTTTAAGTCTTTTTTGAATCACTTCCTTGTTCCTTCTATAAACCCTGATTGTCAATGTTCTTTGATTCTGACCCTTGCTATTCATATTCAGAGGCCCCTTCTCTTCTTAGTGCTTGAATATCCCCTCTGTATGGAGGTTTCCGCAGTATGGATTTCTCAGATCAGCTTGCTTTCTTCCTTCCTGTTCTGTGTTTTGGCTGCTTCTAGGACCATTCCATGTAGCCGCTCTGAATCCCCCATTACTAGGAGATAGGCTACATAGGAGCATACCTTCATTCATGTTCCAGGATCAGGCTTTGCAGTGGTGGAATAGAAGGAATTAATAGCTTAGTTTCTGAAGTTGAACATAATCACCAGAAAATCTGTTATAAGTGAATCTACTTGAAACATCCACTAAGAAGTTTCCTGGAGCTTGGCCTGATGGTGCACACCTTTACCTCCCAACACTGGGGAAGCAGGGGCAGATGGATCTCTGTGAGATCAAGGCCAGCCTGGCCTACATAGCAAGTTCCAGGTCATTTGGTCTTACAGGGAGACCCTGTCTCAAGAAAACAACAACAAAGAAGTTTGATGGGAAGAGGGGACAGAGAAGAAAAAATTTTAATGTACATTAGTAAGCCCCTGACATCTTAAAATTTACATGTGCTTCCTAGGGCTGAACTATCTTTTATTTCTAGGTATTTATTCATAGATATGTGACACACTTTGACTAAAGGAAATGTCATCATTTGTAAATTAGGTTTCTAAGCTGGTTTTGTTGTTGTCATTGTTACTACCATAAATGTTGACCCACTTAATCTAAATCTTGAAAGAATTTCCAAGGTGATTCCAAGACAAACATATTCGTGTATTTGAAAACTAAGTATGTCATAATTGTGGTTTGAGAATATGATTTCAGTGACAATGAGACTTATCTCTAGTTTAAGATAATTACCGTGTATTTCGTGGGGCTGTGATAGTTCTTCTCACAGTCCAGGAAGGGTACATGGGCTATTCAGTCATCAAACATTATATTCTGTTTAGGAAGCATTCTGATAGCGCTTGTAACAAAGCTGAATAAAGGATAAATGCCACCATGAAGAAACTAAATTATATGATGATGGTATTGTGAGAATTCCCTCCCTAGGCAAATGTAAACAATGCATACATCACCTCATAATGTCCCAGAGACAAACCAGAGTATGATTCCACCAAAGTTCACCCTGGGGAACCAATGTGCCTTGGAGCTTACTTGCAGAGCATGGTTGAAGGATTATTACTGGATCGTGGGTGACCCCAAAGCAGCCACACTGGAAAGTCTTCACCCAGCGAGGATCTATGAGGGAATAGCAACAGTCAATAAGCCCAATCCTGATGATGTCTTGCAAGTAGGCACAGCTGATCTTTATAGATGATTGCTGTTTTGCTCAGAAGATTCTGTTCTACAACAGATAGGAACTGCTTGCCTTAAGAAGTACCATAAAGCTTGAGGTACAGTGATAGAATAGTTGGAAGACACTGAAAATCTGATAGGCAGAGCATAGGTTGCAGACAAGGAAACAGCATAAACAAAACTGATTAAACTGGTGTGGAGTACTTAAATGGAAGGTAATGAGGCAACATTGCTTTGGAGCCTTCTCTGTGCAGGTTTGAATGAGTTGTATGCCAAGCTTCAGGATGAAACTGCTGGTTCCATGGAACATGGATTGAAAGGAAAGGAAATGAGAAGGCAGGATGACTGTCTTGACTCCTATTGTTACCATGATCCAGTGTAAGATCATAGGAGTCTGTGTCAGTAGGAACAGGGAGAAGTGGGCAGATTTGACCTGTATTTCAGAGTTGACTGGACTTGTTGATTGGTAGAGAAAGGAAGAGCTCAGGATGATCCCGCAACCTGCAGTGAATGAATAGAGATAAAGATGAGAAGTGTTCTAGGAGACACCAACAGAAATTGAATATGGATCTAAAGAGTCTCTAGAAAAGAGATTAGCAGTTACCCATTTTCTCAGGGACAGTAGTGTTCAGAACAGTGAGAACATAGCTACCTTACAGTGACAGACTCGGTGTTGTGTGTGTGGAGACACAAAAATGTCCACTCATCTCAGTGCATTGATGACAAACTGTTCTACCCAAGTGTAGCTTGGTGCCAACAAGTTTATTTGAAATCTTACAGGAACATGGGCGAGGGGTTACTTAGAGGTGTGGGAGAATCAGGCATCACTGGAGCCCCTTGTATAACTTGTAGCGGCTCCATGCAAGTTTCCTCCTACCCTGCAGTCCTACCTACAATTGTTTCCTGCTTATATAATCTAAGGGAGGGCCTTACAGTTTTACAACTTTACTTTCTGAGCCTCCTGAGCTGTTTGAGTTTGTTAGCTTGAGTCTTGTGAGCCCTTCCATAGGAGGGAGTGGTTCACGTTAGTGGAACAAGTTCCACAGTATACAGAAGAGTGAGGCACAGTAGGAAACTGAAGCAAAGAACAGAGAACATTCAGTGTCCCAGGAGCCCTGGGAGGAGACACTTAAAAAGGCTGGGTGGGGCCTGGAAGGGAGGTGGCTGGGACAACCTCAGTGTTGTACAGATTGTCAGATGCTTGAGCAGGACGTGGCCTGAGACGAGCATTGGATTTGTTGATTTTAGAGGTTTAGTAAAATGATTAAAAATCAAATTTAGATACAACATAATTAGCTTAACAATCATACTTCACTGAAATTTATTTCCTCTTCCTTTTAGTTGTCTTACTTAACTACATGAGCGAATAGCACTGTGTTTACGGGCATTCATGGAGTTGTACTTCTCCTTTTCTGCCCCCAACTTGTTTTGTCTTTTCTTCTTTAAGCTCTACAGTTGTGGTCATTTTACCACTTAATTTATATATAAGCCTCACAGTGTGAAAGTGAAGAGGCTCCAAGCCCTTGGAGCCCTCCTGAAGAATGATGCTGCTTCACTACTTTAACATGGAGTAGCACTGATGAATTGCATTGCATTTATTCACTCATATCAGTCAGATCATTTGGAGCTACCCACACACTGAACTACAGCTTATTTAGCTTTGCTTCTGGGTATGGGTAGGTATCATTCAGTGAGACTTGTTCATAGTGTTAACATGTCTCCCCCCACCCCCCATTCCCTTCTCTTTCCCCTTCTCCCTCTTCCCCTCCCTCTTCCTCTCTTTCTCTGTTATAGGTTGGGTAGGAGGATGTGTCTGGTATGTAGAGAGGAGAGCTACGCGGGAATCCCCACACAAGTTCATGCAGCTTTTCAGGACTGTCAATAAGCAGTGGATCGCATTTCAGCACTTCACGTTCCTCGGGCGTATGGTATGTTGAAGGCTAGCCTACCCTGTTGCTCCCTGCCTCCACTTTGCTCTGTGTGAGGGAATTTCAGAGATTCCTACTAGAAGAGAGATTTTAAGAAGCACTGTTTGAAAAAGACTTTTATTTAGTGTTCTCTTAAGTTTATTCAAAACTTTAATCTCTTGTTTTGATTATTCCTAACTGAAACCAGAATAATTCTGGCATTTGAGGTTAAACGTATGATCTTGAAGTTATTGATTAAGTTTGGAGAAAGATTGAAAACTGATGGCATACTTCAACCAAGCTAAAATTAAGAAAAGCTGAACTTTTATGATGTATATTTTTATATTCTTTGAAGTTAAATAAATACATCAGTAATAAATACTTGTTTAACAGTGTGACTTTCTTATTTTCTTAAATCACCAGTGCATTTTAAAAGTCTTTAAAAATACTTCTATGAGGCTGGGGAGATGGCTCATTTGGTAAAGTGCTTGCTGTTGCCCCCAGGAGGACCTGAGTTCAATCCCTAGCATCTACATAAAAAAGCTGGGCATGATTGTTGGTGCTTGGAATCTCAGCTCTGGGGATGCAGAGACTGGAGGATCCCTGGCAAGTCCCAGGACCCAGTGAAAGACTTTGTATCAAGAAATAAGATGGGTAGTCCCCTGAGGAGCAACATCTGAGATTGACCTATGACTTGTGTGTGACCCTCACATACATGTGAACAGACACAAATGCACACATACAAAATACTTCTGAGTACACTAAAGCTTTTGTGATTTGCTAGGCATTTGACAATGGCACTGATGACCTCTCTCAGTCCTCTTATAGAATCCTGTCTGTCTTGTCTCCATGAGACTGTCAACCTGACAACTGCCCTTAATTTCTGATGAGGACATCTGCTTTTGTCTCATATAGAAAAGGATCATAGAATGGTTAAGATAGCTGAAAACTCATAGTGCTACCATAAAAGAATAGCAAATTCATATATGTTCTATTGGGCAGCATCTCATCTTTTAATTAAAAATGCCCACATTAACTTAAAATGTAATATTAACATAAAATCTTACTAAAATTCAATATATTGGTTTTGTCCATTTCAAAAGATTGGCTTCCTCATCTATAATGAGTTACAAATAGTGTTGATTGAGATATATGTTGATATAAACCGAAAGGTCCTCACAAATGTTAATTCAACTTACTAGTTTTTGTTGGTGAGTGACAGGGACTGACTCCCAGTCTGCTGTTCCATCCTCATACCACAGCCCTGTCATGTTATGGAGCCCTGGATTAGGCCTTCCAGTGAACTGAACTGTTTGCCCAAGAACATGGACGATCTAGAGTTGATGTTGGCTTCTTGTGGAAAATTAATTACATATTTTGTTTGGAAAGTTCAACCTTCAGGATGGTAACTGAAAAATAGATAAGGATTCTTTTCAAGGAACTTATATTCCTGTTTTTTTGTTTTTAAATTTTTTATATTTTGGGTTTTTTGAGGCAGAATCTCTGTAGCCCCAGCTGACCTCAAACTCCCTATGTAGACCAGATTGGCTTCAATCACACAGAGAGCCGCCCATCTCTGCCTCTTGAGTGCTGGGATTAAAGGCATGTGCTGTCATGCCCAGTTTATTCCTGTTTTTTAAAGCCATAAAATTTAAAACCATGGCCAAGACATTAATTTTATTCTCTGTATCTCTCAGTGAAGTGATTTCTTTGTCATGAGTTAGTTATAGGTGCATGTTGGACTAACTAGTATCAAAGTTGTAAGAAAATCTTTCAGGTACCATAAAAATAAGACCTGGGGGAAGATGTTACTGAAAAACCTCTTAATTTTATTGTAACATGTACTTTTTGTTTGTTTGTTCATTTAGTATGTCACACAGCTGAACAGGAGCCTTAGCCAGCAAGTGAAACCAAAGTCAGAGCCCGTGGCATCGCCTTTCCTTGAAAGCACATCCTCAGGTCAGGCCAAAGCAGAGGTGGGTGAGGTGAGGGCGCTCTTACCCCCTCGTCTGCCTCTCTCCCGGAAGCCAGAGGAGAAGCTGATAGAACTTGAGTCTGCCTCTGTAGTTGAACACTCCATTGATGTGGGGAAAGAGACAAAAGAAGAAAAACAATGGAAAGAGATGCAGCTTCACATGGATGATCTGCCTGGCATTTTGGCCCGACTCTCCAAGATCAAGCTTACAGGTACTTGGTTTTTCACTTGCTTGCATTTTTATTTGTAGTTAAAAACAAAGCCAGTTGTATTTACTACCTTCCCCGAATTTCTAAACTTTCAGTATTCTTCTCTTTAATTAGGATTCAGTTTCAAACATTCTGAATTCTATTTGCACAGAATATTCTGTTTACACAGAATACAAATACAATAGACAGTATTGCACTGTAATTTCTACACTAAAATCCAACTTTGCAATCAAAGTAGATTATTTATTCTGCTTATTTCCTTGTACTTACATTTTTACCCCTACTTGCGCTATAAAATTGCAGCACTTGAATTCTGGATGAAGCAACATTGAACTGCTTGGTGTGAACCTGTGCTTCCACTGGGCCTTCGACCACTTTGTTTTCCTTGTAAGACCTCTAGGGTTATTCCATGTGTGCAAGAATGTAGACTGGTTTACTGAAAGGGTGTTTGGACCCCCCTCCCCCCGCCAATTCTAGCACACTATGTCAAATTTTATTGCATACTGTTGGATATTATTACCCCAATGATGCCATTTGGATGTGTCAACCACCCTGTGAGCCAGGCAAAGCGTTATTATTACTGTCTTGTTTTACAGCTAGGGTTAGACATAGCTCATCTGTGCTAACTTTAAAAAGGATGTTCTAGGTTATTCTGCAAACTGAAGACCTGCACTCTTAAAATGAAGAGGCCAGTTCTGCATGGTGTCCTTGAAAACATGTTTGTGTGCTTCACGCTAGCTAACACATCACATCCCTAAAGCAGTTAATCTCTTGTCATTTGCTCACGAGGTCTGCGTGTCATGTTGTTGACATGTTAAGAATGAGTCGATAAGCTATGGCCATCAGGATGTCACCCAAGAAGTGAGACCTCAGGAGGTAGGCATGGGAAGAGGCCCCTGTCAGCAGCAGGATCTTCTAGGTGCTCACCGTCATTTAACATGTCTGGTCTGCAGAGTAGTTCTTCTGTCTTATCATCCCATTTCTGTCAATAATACCAGCATCTTCCTCTCCCCTCAGCTGAGCAACCTTGGAATCAGTCTGAATTTATGCTCCATTCTCTTCCCCATCTCTTGTCAAACATCTGGGTGTTATCAAGAGAACCTTTGTAGTGCCTCTAGGATACTCCTCTCATCTCTCTCCCAATTTTTGGTGGAAACACATGGGCTAGTGGTTTTGTGGCAGCTTCTAATTGTCCTTTTGCCTTCCTTCTCCCCAACTGCAGTCTGTGCTGCTCACAACTGCCATCTACTATGGGGCGGGTCACTTGACCCCCGGCGTGGTGTGTGCGGGCACCCTGGGGTCTCCGCCACACCTGGCTAATCCCGGCGTGAGTCTGGCTGCAGGCGATGTGGGGAGCGCGCCTGGGCTCCCGGGCGCACTCACTCTGGATGTGGCCCAGGGTCAGGTGTGCGTGCACTCTCCCCCCCGTGGTTCTGGTCCCGCTGGCGTGGTTCTGGTCCCGCTGGCTAGCTAGCGGCTGGCGGGCCTGGCCGGCTGCGCCTCTCTGGAGACGGCAGGTGTAAAGACTTCTCTGATGCTGGCTGTAGCTGATAGCTACACACTTCTCTGGAGCGGAGAGCTTCTTCTGCTACTAGAGTATTATCTAGTCGGGATTCCGCCTCTTTTACACCCTTATGCCCTTCCTCAGGATTGCGGAGTCCTGGCCAGTGAACTCCACAGGGAAGAAACACGGAGGCGGCGAAAGCTAGGATATCCGTGGGTCGGTAACGGAGAGTGCTGCTCTCCGGTGAGATCAGGTCGCCGGTAGTAAGACACAGGACTCAAGGCACGGCTTAGTCTGTGTTTACTGCTTTATTGTATCTCTGCTCCTTGCTTTCCAGCTCTCTGCTGATCCAGCTTTCTGGGACCCAATCTCCGGGTCTCTGACCTGATCTCCCAGTCTCTGGCCTGATCTCCGACTATTAAGAGAAGACTAGCATATTTATATACCATGGGGGTAGTGGTAAAAGCTTTTAGATACTTTGTGAGATATTCTATTTACATGTGGAAGTGGGTTTCTGCTAGACTATTGTCTACCTGTAAAAATCACACACAGGAAGGCATGGTATGCATAGAGCCAAAGGCCATGTTTATGTCAAGGCATCTGTGGCGGCCACTTCAAAGGGAGAGACAGGAAAGATGCCAGAAAGCACCTTGCTATGAAAAGGAGCCCGCGGCACATTCCCCGAGCTGCATGAGCTGTCCGGTGTGAAGGGGCTTCGACTTTTGCATAACAGAGGTCTCCCAACAATCTACTTTCTCAAAATACCCCTTCCAGTTGCTTTTCCTAACCTTTGCAGAAGGCTGTTGTCTCTGCACATTGCCTCATCAGCTCTTCCTGGATCTAAAGCAACGTACTATTTCCCTTTCCCTGTTCCCTCTGCCACCAAGGGAGCCTGGTCTGCCTGTCTCACTTCCAGTCAGCTCCTTCAAGGACCCTCTAGTAAACCTTCCCTGGGCCCAGTCTTGAGGTCCTAGCTGTGACATTTACTCACCAGTGAGGGTTTAGGCAATTTCTATCTTTTTGAGATAATTTCCACGTCTGTAAGGGAGGAAGAATAGCGCATCATTTCAGAACGAAAGGACAAAATACACCAAAGTCACCCAACAATGTTCCTGACTGATGGGAGGTGCTGAAAGGTTAGTTTCTGAGTAGTTACAGGTAAATACTTAATTGTCTGTGTACTGTGTGTTGTATTTCCATGGGATTGTTTCTGCCTGTGCAAACTATTGAACTGAATGAGAATTTGCTAGGCAGGGAGACATGGAGGGCAGCTGTAAGCAGCAGCAGCTCAGAGGCAAAGAAACTGCTACATCCTGGTGTGTACGGAGGACTGACAGTGTGCTAGGGTGTGTGAGGAGGGGGCACTGGGAGCGGTCATACTGTCAGTGGGCAACTGAAGGCTTGGACTGTTGGGCCACACAAGTGGAAAGTTCTCAAAGTTTCCTTAGAGAGAGATGAACCCTCTATGTTTTGTCTTATTTATATTTTAATGTCTTTACTGTTCGATTAGTGAAAGAAAATAAAGAAATTTCCGATGCTGTAGCAAAGTGCACCTTTACCATTCTTCTTTGTGTATCTTCATATCCGTTACCCTCTTTTGTCCTCCCTCCACTGTTCCCCTTCCTCTTCCCAGTAGTTTCTCTTCTACTTTCCTATCTTAACATACGTAGGTTTTGGTGTAGATTTTATGAGAGAAAACGTGTGATATCTGTCTTTGTCTGCCTTATTTCGGTTTACAGGATGTTCTCATGCATCTGTTTTGCTGCAGACAACCTATGGCCTCCACATACATTTGTACCTGCATTCACATGTGCACACAGGTATGAACATGCACGTACATACAGGCACATACACACATACGTACACACACATGTAAAAGAAAAAATAATTAAATAATGACCAAGGATATAAGAAATAAACTGAGGAAAAATACAAATATTCAAAACGGAGAAAAAGATTCCAAATCCGATCAAGCCTAAGCAATGAAAACTGACACAGAATCTTTTTCTATGATCAAATTGGCAGAAATCAGTAAAGACCATCTGTGCAGGAGCACAGCGCATGGCTGTGTCTGCAGGTGGGATTCACATGAGCTACCGGGGGAGGGCAAATTATACCTTTCTTTTTATAAATTTTATTTATTTTTATTTTATGTGTATGCGTATATTGCCTGCATGTAGGTAAGTGCACCTGTGTTGTGCAATGCCCTTGGAGGTCAGAAGAGGCTGTCAGATCCCCTGGAACTGGAGTTACAGACAGTTGTTAGTTGCCATGTGGGTGCTGGGACTTGAACCCAAATCTTCTGCAAGAACAACCAGCGTTCTTAACCACTGAGCCATCTCTCCAGCCCCCATTCTTTCTTTCTTTATTTTATTTTTGTGTGTATGAGTGTATTGCCTACATGTATGTAAGTGCGCTCTTGTCATGCAATTCCCGTGGAGGTCAGAAAAGGCTGTTAGATCGCCTGGAACTGGAGTTACAGTTGTTAGCTGTCATATGGGTGCTGAAAATCAAACCTGGGTGGGTCCTCTGCAAGAGTAGCCGAAATTGACCTTGAACTCATGGAAGTCCTCTTGCTGGGATTTCAGGCATGTGCCACCATGTGCATCTCTCTGGACATAACTTTAGACTTTTGGAGTTGGGCTAAATGCATTTTGTATTATGAGATGGCCATGAACCTATAGAGACCAGGGACAGAATATTATGATTTGGATATGAAATGACCCCAATAAGCTCATCTGCTTGAATACTTTGTCCCCAGCCAGTGGCACTGTTTTGGGAGGTTTTAAGACCTTTAGGAAGTGGGACCTCACTGGAGGAGGTGGCTTTCTGTGGGTGGGCTCTATGGGGTACAGCCTTGCCCCTGTTCTGGCTGGAGTTCTCTCTGGTTCCTGGTTGGCCTCAGGGTGTGAGAAAGCTGCCTTCAGCTCCTGCACCACTCCTGCCACATGAACACTGCCAGGCCTTCCCTGAAGGAAGCTGTGGTCTAAAATAAGCCCTTCCTCCCTTAGGTTGCTTTTGACATTGCTGGGAAAAGTAATACAGAGATACTGAAAGGTTAGTGTGCACATAGTTATAGATGAAGAGAATTAGCATCTTATCAGTCATATTTCTTACAGGTATTTCTTTTACATTCTTCGTGTTTATATTTATGATACTTTGTTGCTTTCTTTTACTTTGCCCCACTCAAATTTTAGCTTTTGTATGTATTCAGATGTTCTCTATCTTACTGGTTCCTAGGAAGGGCTGCCGACCACAGGGCTATGAAATCCTACATTCATGCTCTCCTGTGATGTTTACATCTTTGTACTCTTTAAGGGTTTGGAACCATCTAGTAAATATTTCAGTAGAAATAAGAGTTAAGACAACATCTGTAGCACTACTGTTGAACTAAGGTCACCTGTATTTTTTAAATAAAGTTTTCCTGGAATTCAGTGTTGTCTGCTTGTATGCTGGCCTGCTATGATGACCAAATTGAGTGATTACAATTAAATTGTTA